CTGCTCTGTACCTAGGGTTTTCTAATTTCAAGACATAGAATTGATCCAGAATTAAGAATATAGGGACTAGAAATCTTCCAGAGAAGGTGATGGGCCACAGACGCTGAGCCTAGTGTGATATCTGATACTGGTATATAGGAGTCTTCCTGCATTAGTTGGGCGTCTCATTAGGAGACAGAACCCACACAGTAATTGAAAAGGGAAAGTTAAATATAAAGAATTATTAACTTACAACATGAGATTAAGTACTAAGGGATAAGGAGAACTCTAAAGAATGTAAGAAGAGCAGACGACAGGAACAGCCACTACCTCTAGGGCTAAGGCAAAGCACCTTCAAGCAGAATAAATTTGAAAGAAGTCTCCTCCTTCACCCCAGGGTTGAGACCTGGGTCTCATTGGAGAGTACACAGCCTTGGTACACTTGATGGTTCAGGAGTTTGGGCAGATACCACAGGCCAGGGGAAGCCAGCAGAATTCTCTGGGAAGCCACCCTGTGGATGCCATTGGAACTTGCTGGGGTGAGCACCACTGAGTGCCTTGCCTGCTGCTGTCTGCTGCATGCAGTAGGAACCATCAGAGAAGAGCGCACAGGAGCCAGAAGAAAAGCCCATTCTTCCAGCATACTCTGCTGACAAACTTAACATGCCAGTAGGCAAAGAAGAAATGTTAGCAGGGTTCGGGTCCTACATCAAAAAGCAGGGCAGAAAGGCTGAATTTGGAGCACAAAGGCAATAGATTGATAACTGGTACACTTCACAAGTGTGTTACCACTGCATAAGATCCTCTGGGTTTTTTTGGACAAACTTGGGTAGTTTGGCATCAAGATAGAGTATTTTAAAATAGGGCTAAGAAAATCCAGAACATGTGGTCACCATACCCAAACATTCTAGTTAGATGAGAATCTTTCATTTTAAATGATTTAAGAAAGATTATCTTTCTTCTCTTGAGTTCTGTTTTCTGCTCTCTTCATATTTTAAACCAGTGATCCCCATTTTTTTTGACCCCAGAGACTGTTTTTATGGAAGACAATTTTTTCATGGACTGGGTTGAGGGGGGATGGTTTCGGGATGTTTCAAGTACATTACATTTATTGTGCAATCAAATGTCTCTATTAATAATAATTGTATTTGCAGCTGCTCCCCAGTGCTAGCATTACTGGCTCACTGGCTCAGCTCCACCTCAGAGCATCAGGCATTAGATTCTCATAAGGAGCACAAAACCTAGATCCCTCGCACTCAAGGTTTGCAGAAGGGTTTGTGCTCCTGTGAGAATCTCATGCCACCACTGATCTAACAGGAGGAGGAGCTTATGCGGTGATGCAAGTGATGTGTAGCGACTGTAAATACGGATGAAGCTTCACTTGAAGCTTCACTTGTTCGCCAGCCACTCACATCCTGCTGTGCAGCCCAGTTCCTAACAGGCCACAGACGGTAGTGGTCCTGCCTGGGGGTTGGGGACCATAGTTTTAAACAATGAATATTAAACAGTAGGTGGCCAGTTTTTAGTGGAAATGCTGTCTTGGTATTTGCTTCTTCTGTTGGTTTTACTCATTGCTTTGTTTGTTCATTCCTGTTAGTGTTTGACTACAGTTATAGAGATTACGTTCTGTCCTGGTATGGAAACCTCAGCAGAGATGAGGGACAACTTTACCATCTGCTCTTAGAAGACTTTTGGGAAATAACCAGAGAGCTGCACCACAGACTGAGTCACGTGGATGTGGTTAAAGTTGTCTGCAATGACGTTGTAAGGACTTTACTCACTCATTTCTGTGACCTGAAAGCTGCTAATGCCAGGTAACTCTTATAATATGAACAACTCAC